TTTTACTACGTGCCTGAAAAAGTTGACTTACCAAATATCACTATAAAGTTTATTCACCCAAAAATTAAACCCCCAGTGGCTCATGGACTATATGTTATTACGATTCTGTGAAAGTTTCATTGAATTTCACTCAGTGGTATAAGAGGAGTTGCAGATAAGAGATGAGTACCCCAAAGCGTAACAGACAGACAGACGTACAACTAGACGGACGGACAGCCATCGTGCATGAAACTTAAAAGGCCACCAATATATTTACTTAATGGAAGAATGAAAGAATCGCTCCTCATCATATGTTGTACAGGCGCGGATCCAGAAATTTTTTCCAGGGGGGGTCCACCCCAGCCAGAAAAAAAAATCCAATCCCACAAATTTCTTCACAAGCAAAAAAAAAAAAAAAAAAAACTAAACTCCCCCAAACGTCAAAAACCTATTTCGATTCTGTGAAAGGGGGGGGGGGGGGGGGGGGGTGTGTAAGGGGTAGTGGTGAGATCTATTGCCTCAAATCTTTCACTATTCATACCCATTTCACACATATTCGCGTTTACCGGGGGGCCATGGTAACTTGAAACTTGTTTTAGTATATATTTTTTAACCTGGTAAATTGGAAGAATGAAAGACCCCGCTCCTCATCATATGTTGTATTCTGTCTATTACTTTATCATGTATATGATTATGTCCAATAGGCCCTAATTTGGTAATAAATTCTATTCTACATCAGTGGCGGATCCAGGAATCTTGTAAGGGGGGGGGGGGTCGGAGGAGGGGCGCACAACCACATAAAAAAATAATTTATTAAATTTCTTGTATATTTTGGACACAAAAGGGGGGGGGGGGGGGGAGCTTGGTCCTCTCTAAATCCGCCATTGATTGACACAACTGGATACGCATTCCTGTATTGCCCTATTCTCATTTGCTGTTGAATGATCATTACTCTTCCTAATGCCTATGGCTATTTTTACCTATTTGGACAAATTCAGACATGTGATACATATCATGTGGTTTGAAGAGCCAATAGGCTTACTTTATAATTTGTCCCGGTATTGGTGAACAGCCTTTGTTCACCAAAAAGACTGCTTACTGCATGTCTCTATTATGAAGTCTGCCATATTAGAACCATCCTGACAAACCTGAAACCTGACAGATTATTGGTATGTATATATGTGTGTATAGTATACCAGACATCCTCATGCAGCTTTATTGAGTTTGCCTCGCTCCATATACAGATAAACACAGTGACGGAGCAAATAATCTTAAAGGGGGCAGGTTGAAATCAGTCGGGGTAGGGGCCCACAGCCACAGACACAGACTTGTAAAATCTTATAAATCATAAGTATTTTGGACACAAAGAACGGGGCTGGGTATGCATATTTTTAACACAGAAGTGGGGGGGGGGCTGGTCCCCCTCTAAATCCGCCAGTGAAACAGGTGATTATTGGATAATCATGTGAATTATAATGTTTTTATCATATGTAAATGTAAATATGAAACAGTTGCATTGGAATGTATATATATTAAGTAATATTATTTATGAATAATATTAATTTTCAAAATTAATGTCTTAATATACTTTTATGCAATCAAGGGAAATAACTTGTAAATTAATTCAAAAATGAAAGGAGATAGCAAGAGCTATACACTATAGTCCTTATCAGCTTGTTATGTGCATATTACCTTGTAAGTTTATTGTTAATTTTTATGCCCTTGTAATCAAGATCCAGTGGTAAATAGTTTTTGTCTGACAGGTGTTTTTCCATCTGTCTGTTTATCTGTTTGTCTTTGCTGACAAAAACTAACTTGATGCATAATTTTTTATTGGATAGGGCTATATGGTTTTCTTAAATTATTTCACAGGTGTATTCCTTGTGACATATACGACCTTACTTTGGGTACCCCCAAATTTGAACGCTTGATCTTGACCATAGATTTTGACATACTTAAACAAAAAAATCAAAACTTTAACCTTGGCCATATCTTAAGAACAATTGCATGGTGCTTGGGCTTTCATACTTCACATATATGTTTTCAAAGTGATTAGACCTGTGAACAGGTATAAATTTTTTTGACCTTTTGACCTTGGAGTTTGATCTGCATTTGAGAAACTTCAATCTCAGCCTTTAGCTGCCATACAGGGGCATCCTGCAGTGTTTCACAAACACATCTTGTTTTTCTTTCAATCTAGAGCAAATTTCGTTCGACTCTTTTAATTTCTTTATGATCTGTTTTAGTTGTCAAACTTGTGACTACTTCTTCCAGCATATGAACAATTAAGTTTGGGAAGGAACAGACAGGTCCAGTCAAGGTAAGTAAAACAATAAAATAAATTGAAAAAAGTACAGTTGTGACTAAATCTAGGTAGTCAGATCTGTATTCATGTAAGGGAAAATGTGCATTTTATATTAGTTACATTTTTTGTGTCTTCGTAATCAAATATTTGGGATTATATAGTTTTTGTCCTGTCCATCTGCCTGTTTGTATGCAAAATAATTAACCTTGCCCATAACTTTTGAGTGGGTGTATATTGGTCTATGGCATATGCGGCATTTCCCTTGTATATTTAGTTTTACGATTAATGCCCTGTTCACACGGAGTGTTTAATTCGCATTAAACGTAAAGTTACTGCGAATTAGCTTCGCTTAGCGTTCACATGGAGAATTTAATGCGAATTAGTTTAATTCGAATTAATTTACTGCGCATTAAATTACTTCGCATTAGCTCCGTGTGAACACTAAGCGAAGCTAACTCGAATTAAATTTTGACGCATGCGTAAGGCCAGAATTAAATCATAGGGCACGTGGTGGTGGTTATATATGGGTATTTGTGCTATATGGTTAAAAAATTGAGGAAATGTATGTTAATCACTAAAATCAATGAATACCTGCAGCCTCTACATGATGTATCAAAGGATGGCTCTGCATACATGACGTGATTTACAAATGACGTCACAATAGACTTACTGACGCCTGAGTGTAGAAGAAAAATTTTATTTCGCATTAGTTTACTTCGCATTAGCTGTCGTGTGAACGCAATTTAATTCGGATTAATTTGATTCGCATTAGTTTACTTTGCATTTATTTACTGCGAATTAAACTCATCGTGTGAACAGGGCATAAAAAAGCAATACATTGAAGGGTTGTTCCCTATTGACATATTAATAAATAAATCCTTAAATTCTGAAAATTCAAGTTTTTTGTATGATAAAAAGCACAGAAAAAGTCAGTTTGCTTATAAATTGGGTGTATTTTACCAAAATTTTGGGAAAAAGAGTCATAATGTTTAATTGGGACAGGGTTCTTTTACAAGACCTGGATGAAAGGAATATCAAGCCCTAGCTGAGGCCAAAATAAAATTATAGTTTGTTTGGAATTGCCTCCCGCCTCATTGAAATGCCCCCTCCTGAAAAAAAATTATTGATCAAAAGCAGGAAGATTTTTTTTATTTAATCAATTTTTTTGCCCATTACATGTATCACATGCACCATACAAAACACTGAAATATAGTTAAGATATCTATGTAAAATTATGTTTTTAGCTCACCTGAGCCGAAGGCTCAAGTGGCTTTTCTGATCACAAGCAGGAAGATTTTCCGTTCCGTCTGTAAACTTTTCACATTTTCGACTTCTTCTCAAGAACCACTGGGCCAATTTGGACCAAACTTGGTACAAAGCATCCTTTGGTGAAGGGAAATTTAAATTGTTAAAATGTAGGGACATATCCCCTCGCAAGGGGAGATCATCAAGAAAAGACAAAAATAGGGTGAGGTCATTAAAAAATCTTCTTCTCAAGAACCACTGGGCCAATAAAGCTGAAACTTATGTGGAAGCATCCTGGGGTAGTGTAGATTCTAAATTTTTCAAATCATGACCCCCGGGGGTAGGGCGGGGTCACAATGGGGAATCAAAGTTTTACATAGAAATATATAGGGAAAATCTTTGAAAATCTTCTTCTCATGAACCACAGGGCAAGAAAAGCTAAAGCTTATGTGGAAGCATCCTAGGGTAGTGTAGATTGTAAATTGTTCAAATCATGACCCCCGGGGGTAGGGCGGGGCCACAATGGGGAATCAATGTTTTACATAGAAATATATAGGAAAAATCTTTGAAAATTTTCTTCTCATGAACCACTGGGCCAGAAAAGCTGAAACTTATGTGGAAGCATCCTGGGGTAGTGTAGATTGTAAATTGTTCAAATCAGGACACCCGGGGGTAGGGCGGGGTCACAATAGGGAATCAAATTTTTATATAGAAATATATAGGAAAAATCTTTTAAAATTTTCTTCTCAAGAACCACTGGGCCAGGAAAGCTCAAACTTATGTAGAAGCATCCTGAGGTAGTGTAGATTTCAAATTGTTTAAATTATGATCATTGGGGTAGGGTGGGGTCACAATATGTATTACAAGGGGGAAATCTGGTAAACAACAGAATGGTCAAAGATTCTCAGGTGAGCGATGTGGCCCATGGGCCTCTTGTTTTTTGTTAATTGTAGATATTTTTGTTTAAAGTCAGAAAATGTATTAACTGTTTACTGAGATTTTTATGAAAAATTAAAAATTTTTCTTCCATTAAAAAAAAAAAAACAATAATTTCACTCCCTCCCTCCTCTGTCTGAAAACCTTCGGGCGGCAATTCCAAACAAACAATTTATTAAGGATGGCCTGAGCTGGTGCTAGGTTAACATGTTAATTAATATTTTACTAAACCTTCAATGGGTATAGATATTTTTGACTACGACTTAAGAGTTTCACCCTGAGTTTTGAAAACTTTAACCTTGGTCATAACTTTTTAACAGTTAGCACTTAGGGCTTTCATATTTCACAGTAGTGTTCCATGTGACAAGACCTTCTTTTGGATATCAACAGTTTTAATCTTTTGACCTTGACCTTTGACTTGCATATGAGAAAAATCAACCCTCACTATTATCTACCATGTGGGAGCATCAGTTGTTTCACAAACACATCTCGTTTATGCTTAATATTGTTTATTTCTATTATAGGGTTGTGACCACTACATCTGAATCCATCCGTCCATATTAACACTGCAATATTAAGTGAATATTGGACCCATAATTATGTGTGTGTTATATTCTTCACATAAGACCACTACTACATTTGGAGCTCTAATTGGTTGCTGATGATGGATGGTGCATTAACACTTCAGGATAAAGCAGTTAGCTGATGAATGATTGTCAACCTCTACCTTCCTCCTTGTGAGAGCTACAATATGTTTTAACTGTCAACAGTGAGAGTTTTGTGCTGGCTGACTTTAGCCTAAGTACAATAGTGATCAACACTGTGAACTGTGATTTTATATTGTGACTTCTGTGTGCATTGACTGGCTATTCAATTGGAATTATTCCACCAGCAATTGGTAAGAAAATCTACCATACAGCACTTATTTACCTAAACAGTATAAATAGTTAAGTATTTCATGCCCCCTGCTTGAAAAGTGGGAGGGTATATATAGCTATAGGGATTCGGATGTCTGTACATTCGTCTGTCTGTCTGTTTTGCAATACTATCTACTCTATATAGACGTACATGTAAATTGAAAACAAAACATTTGTGCCCTGTCCTTATTGTATTGGTCATTGATATAATATTATTATACAGGTCCATTCCAAAGACTACTTCTACCTACGTAGCTATTAATAGCTACCTAGGTATTTAAAGCTACCCAAAGTAGCTACTTTTACCTACTTTTTATATTTTCTGCATTTGGCGGCCAAAAGACCAAACGGCGCAACATGGTGAATATCATATCTTTTGATACAGTCACACTAATGATGAATACGAAAAAATTTTGGCCAAAAAATGATTACTTCTTGAATCAGCAATTTTACATTAGTTTCTTTGCAATATTGATAATAAACGAAGTAATCATTTTTTGGCAAAATTTTTGTCGTATTCATCATCAGTGTGACTGTATCAAGAAATTTTGTGCTCACCATTTTGCGCCGTTCCCGCATTTGGCCACAAAATGCAAGTAAAGCAGAAAGCAGGTAAAATAGCTACTTTGGGTAGCTTTAAATACATAGGTAGCTATTAATAGCTCTGTAGGTAGTAATAGTCTTTGGACTGGACCTGTTATAGTTTTAAAATTCAGATTCTTATACTAATACCTTTGCATTGCACTGCATGATAGTGATTATACATATATGTATATTATTTGATAACTGCATGCTGACTGGACTGAACAGATGTTGACAGATCGAGCTGTGGAAGCTGTGGGAGAATGTTCATATAGGTACAGGTAATGTCCTCCCCACCCCTTGCCCTTCTTAGTCACATGTATATACATTAAATAGGTATTTACATGTATATATATGTTTGTAAATTTATCAAGTGAAATAGAGTAGGTGTGTGACAACAGTAAGGGTAGCTATAGATTACCTGTCTGTCTGACTGTCTAGCTGTCTGTCTGTCTGTCTTAGTTTATTTTTGCAGTGAATATCAAAGTACATGTATACTGAAAATTTTGGTACTGAGTAGGATATCACCCTTTATACCTGCTCACTATATAGAGAGTACATAGATTTGAATAAGACTGCCAATATTTTATTCTTTCATCTGCTCATATTTTATTTTCATTTCACTCACTGAATCTAATTTTATTGTGTATACATTATATTCATTTTGTTTTCATTGCCATTTGAATTGTTCTTTCAATTGTTCTCTATTGTGTATGCAAAATTAGACCTAATTTTTAAAGTGAACTAGAGTTATTGCCCTTTATTCAGAATAATCAGTTATGAAGGAGGAATGCCACACCAACATTTTGTTTCATAGATCTCTAAGTCATATCCTTTTTAAACAATGATTTTAACTTTGAGAGACTATTATTGGCTCTTAAAGCAATATGAGCTGCATGTTTGACATCAGAAAAAAATGTTGCAAATTTGTAATAAACTATTTCAATATGACAGAAAAATAGAACATTTATAAACTTCTGTAGTTCATATTTGCTATGAAAGAACTTGTAAAACGCATTGATTGAAGCAAAATTGAATTATTGTCGTCCTGTACAATAATGATTTCTTATGCAATACTGTATATTCGGTTATACAGAAATATTTATTCTGAAACATTTTTAAACTTTAGTTAGTTTTTATTGATCATAAGGGTTTTACTTTAGATTACATACAGATTAATCATAATAACACATTTTACCAGCAAAATAAAATTTTTAAAAATGCAGCTCATATTGCTTTAAATTATTATTTTATATGAATTTTTTTTTGGTATCTTTTTTCAAAGAAAATGAAAAAAAAAATTATATGCAAATTAGATGCTTTCGATTCAAAAGCTTGCTGTAAATGAATGCATCATATGAATATCTAATAAAATATGTAAAGAAAAGCTTGATAGACTTTTTATTTTTTTTTTATAAAAAAAAAATAAACACATTGATTATTTGTCAAGACTTTTTTAACATATGGTTAAAAAGACCACAAAACAAGTCACAACGGAGGAGAACATGTTTGTCAATCATATTTTAAAAAGAAATTGAAATGAAAAGGCAAAATTTTTGAGAAACTATTTTTTTTTTTTAAAGATTTGGACCTAACCCATTCAAGATTAAACTGATCCTGATCAAAATTAACACTAGCTGAATAAAATGCTAATTTTATGCCTCGATCCTTCATGCATTTATAATTAAGGACAACTACACAACATACTTTACCTACTGATAACTTTTCAAGATATTCTTAATTTAAGATTATAGTGCCATCAGATGTTCATAGACAAAAATTCAGCATGCATTACCAGGGTTTTTTGGAAGATGTCAAATTATGAAAATTTTTGAATTATTCAAAGAAAAATATACAAAAATTACAAAACATAAAATCCAGATTTTTTCCAATCAAATTTGCTTTAGAAGAGGTATATAAATCCATATATAGTCATTTAAAGTATTACACACAGGTCCTTCATTTAGTGGAACTCTTCAACTCCAGTGAAAAACCCAATAATGTTCAAAATATGTTGCGTATGACCTTAAGAAATCTATTTGATTGTCAAGGTCAATTGTTTTTTAACCCTTATAACACCTAATCAAACAAGTATTCTAACTTGATAAAATATGTTATTTATTTCTATTATAATTACACAGTTTATTTCTATTATAATTAATTAGATACAATTCTTGATTGGCCAAAATTAAAAAAAATTAATTTCTCTAAAATTTGACGATTTTATTTCAATTTCTTTGAATTTATACATATGATTAACTAACATGTTCTCCCCATTTGTGACTGGTTTTGTGAAGGTTTTAAACACAACTTTAAAGATATTCACAAATAATGTGTTTTATTTTCATAAATATTTTTTATTAAAAAAAATAAGTGTCTATACCAGGCACGTAGCAGCACTCCACTTTTTTCTAAATATAACTTTTAATTACTATTGAAATGCTAAATGAAAGGCTGGTTGCTCCCCCCCTTTTTTTTTTGCTTGTCAACTTTTTTGTTCAGGTAAGAATTTTTTCTCTGGCTGCCAACTCCCCCCCTCCACTTTCAAAACTGATGCTACGTCACTGTTATACAGCTTTTCTTTACATATTTCATTAGATATTCATATGATGTATTCACTTACAGCCAAAATTTAATTTGGAAATTAAAAGTTTTTTAGCTCACCTGAGCCAAAGGCTCAAGTTCAAGTGAGCTTTTCTGATCACAATTTGTCTGTTGTCTGTCATTGTTGTTGTTGTTGTTGTCGTCGTCGTTGTAAACTTTTCACATTTTCAACTTCTTCTCAAGAACCGCTGGGCCAATTTTAACCAAACTTGCCACAAAGCATCCTTGGGTAAAGGGAATTCAAGTTTGATCAAATGAAGGACCACGCCGTCATTCAAGGGGAGATAATTGGGAATCAATAAAAACTTGGTGGTATCGCAGGGGTGATAAGGAAGCATACAGAATATTCTGCCTTGACTAAGTCAGTGAAACATTATGACGTCAAAGTGGGCAAGATGACGTCAATTTTAGAACACAGGTTTTCGTAATATTGGTGTTTAGAGATGTAATTTAACTCTACGAAATATATTGAAACATGTAAAAATTAACAAAAATAAGATGTTTTCCTTTTCTTATGCTGTATCTGTCAATTTGATGAAAGTCTACCAATGATGATGTCATATGTTTACATCGAGTAACTTGGGAATTGATCATGTCGTGTAAAGAGAATTTGGCTAAGACGGCATGTACAAAGATATGTAAAATGGAGTTCAAAAGCAAAAATCGGGAATATTATGTGAAATTCATATGGAGTTCAGTTAAATAAACAGGTATGCTAATTTATTTTTTTCAATTATATTCTCTTTCGAAGACAGTCAGCTATATCCGTATCCTAGTCGGCCTTTCCTCGGTCATTCGTGACATAAATTATGCCACAGAACAACAATAAGCTGGATATTTCAAAACATAGGATTTGTACAGATGGAAAGTTCGCCTTCTAAAATACTTGGTAATTGCTGCTAGAATCCCAAGTTAAGGATGGTTTTAAAAAAATTCTCAGTTCATATGTATGAAATTCAAAACATCGGGTAAGGGTTCATGCGAATGTGTGTAATAATTATTTTACTAATGGGACAGTGGGATTCTAGCAGCACTTTTTAGGCAAAATAGATGCTTTTTAACTATATTATTTACTTAAAGATGTTCAAGTCATGACCCCCTTGGGTAGGGCGGGACCACAATGGCCAACCAAAGTTTTACATAGAAATATATAGGAAAATTTTTTAAAAATCTTCTTCTCAAGAATAACAAAGCCATAATTGATCATATTTATATGGAAGCATCCTCATGTAGTGTAGATTCAAGTTTGTTTAAATCATGACCCCCGGGGGTAGGGCGTGGCCACAATGGCCAATCAAAGTTTTACAGAGGCATATATAGGAAAATTCTTTAAAAATCATCTTATCAAGAATAGCAAACTGATGATTGTTCATGGGACTACTTTTGGATATAAACTATTCAATAATAAACCAGTTTCTACTTTTTTCCCAGCCACAGTGCTCAGGTGAGCGATGTGGTCCATGTGAACCTCTTGTTTTCATTTTCTTTGAAAAAATGCTAAAAATTCATATTAAATGATTAAGCTACATGTATTATCAGCATTTCAGTGCTGAAACCATAATTAGGGAAGTCTTAAAGATCTATGAAGTAAAATGTTGTGGCATTCCTCTTTTAATTTTTTTTTTGACATTTCTTTGATTTTGTTTCTTTCTGAGCTTCATAAATTTGTTTTTTTTTTATTTAAAAAAGTCAGTTGAATTGAAATTACTTTGATTTTGTTTATTTAAATTTTATTGTTCTCAATCAGAATTATATTGACTCATACTTGGACTAAGAGTAGTTTAAATTGATATTGATTACTGATAAGTGATTTATTTTCAAATTTTTGTGAATTTGCTATTTTTTTTTTTTTTGAAATTCCATTCATTATTGTTGCCTGCTTTTGAAAAAGTGAGGGAACATTTCTAAATATCATTTGTCTATCAGTCTGTCACAAATATTTTAACCTTGGACACTACTTTAAAACAAGAAGAGATAGGGGTTTCATATTTTACTTTTACATCACCTGTGACAAGACCTTTCCAATTATACTCTGAATTTTGACTCTGTGACCTTGACCTTGAAGTTTGATCTACTTTTCATAAAAATATTATTATGTTTAATTAGTCATAACTTTTGAAAGAGAAAAGGTATCACTTACATATTAAACATGTATATTACCTATGAAATACCTTTCTACATATACTGTATTTTTAAACACTGCAACCTTGACCTTAAAGTTTACCTACTTTTCAAAAATGGAATTTTTCCTTATTTTTTATGATTGAGAAAATATAGATAGGGCTATAAAAATGTGTGAATTTCCTGTGACAAAATGTTTCTGAACATGCTTTGATTTTGGACCCCCTGACCTTCATGTTTGACATAATTTTCCAAAAATTTAACTTTGGTTATTACTTTTGAATGACATATGACAAGGCATTCATATTTGATACACAATTCTTTGAGTTTGCTTATCATTATTATATTTTTTCAGCTGTGACATTTATTTGTATAATAGGTTCTCTGAAATTCAGTTGCTTACTTTGGTGATTTTTATTACTCTGTTCATTTGGCACACTTGTTCTGCATTTCAATTTCATTTCGAATTCAGCCAACTGAAGGATAAAGTGATCTTTTCTGATCAAAATTTATCCATTGTCTGTCATCATTGTCACCATCACAATATTGTAAACTTTTTCACATATTGATCTTCTTCTCAAGAACCACTTTAAAAATAAAATCTTTTATTATACATGTATATAATTATTATTATATTATTAGATTATTATAGAGGGAGAGAGAGAGAGAGAGTGGAGAGAGAGGGAGATCAAGTGGGAGAGAGGGAGTGGGGAGAGAGTGGGAGAGGAAGTGGAGAGAAAGTGGGAGAGAGAGGTAGTGGGTAGAGAGTACGAGAGAGAGTGGGGAGAGAGAGGGTAGAGAGAGGGAGTGGGGAGAGAGAGGGGAGAAAGAGAGAGGAAGTGGAGAGAAAGTGGGAAAGAGAGGCAGTGGGTAGAGAGTGGAAGAGAGAGTGGGAAGAGAGTGGCAGAGAGAGGGAGTGGGGAGAAAGTGGGAGAGTGAGAGGGGAGAGAAAGGGAAGAGAGAGAGGGAGTGGGGAGAGAGAGAGAGAGAGAGAGAGAGAGAGAGAGAGAGAGAGAGTGGGGAAAGAGAGGGAAGAGAGGGAAGAGAGTGGGAGAGGAAGTGGGAGAGAGAGGCAGTGGGTAGAGAGTGGGAGAGAGAGTGGGGAGAGAGAGGGAGTGGGGAGAAAGTGGGAGAGAGTGGGAGAGGGATAGGGAAGAGAGAGGGAAGAGAGAGAGTGAGTGGGGAGAGAGAGAGAAAGTGGTAGAGAGTAGGGAGAGAGAGAGAGGGAGTGGGGAGAGAGAGAGAGAGAGAGAGAGAGAGAGAGAGAGAGAGAGAGAGAGAGAGAGAGAGAGAGAGAGAGAGAGAGAGAGAGAGAGAGAGAGAGGAAGAGAGGGAAGAGAGAGAGGAAGTGGGAGAGAGAGTGGGTAGAGAGTGGGAGAGAGAGTGGGGAGAGAGAGGGAGTGGGGAGAAAGTGGGAGCGAGTGGGAGAGGGAATGGGGAAAGAGGGAAGAGAGAGGGAGTGGGGAGAGAGAGAGAGGGAGTGGGGAGAGAGATGGGAGAGAGAGAGAGAGGGTAGAGAGAGAGAGAGAAGAGAGAGAGTGGGGAGAGAGAGAGGAGTGAGTGGGGAGAGAGAAGTGGGAGAGAGGGAGTGGGAGAGAGTGGGAGAGGAAGTGGAGAGAAAGTGGGAGAGAGAGGTAGTGGGTAGAGAGTGGGAGAGAGAGTGGGAGAGAGAGAGAGTGGGGAGAGAGTGGGAGAGAGAGTGGGATAGGGAAGAGAGAGAGTGGGAGAGAGAGGGAGTGGGGAGAGGGGAGAGAGAGAGTGGGGAGGGAGTGGGGAGAGAGAGTGGGGAGACAGAGAATGGGGAGTCAGAGAGTGGTGAGAGAGAGTGGTGAGAGAGGGGGAGTGGGGAGAGAGGGAATGGGGAGAGTGAGAGAGGGAATGGGGGAGAGAGGAAGTGGGGAGAGTGAGAAAGGGAATGGGGAGAGAGAGGGAGTGGGGAGAGTGGGAGAGGGAGTGGTGATAGAGGAGTGGGCGGAGAGTGGGAGAGAGTGGGGAGAGAGGGAGTTGGGAGAGAGAGGGAAAGAGAGTGGGGAGAGAGTGGGAGAGAGGGAGTGGGGAGAAAGTAGGAGAGAGGATGGGGGAAAGGGGAATGGAAAAAGTGGGAGAGAGTGGGAAGATAGAGGGAGTGGGGAGAGTGGGGAAAGTGGGTGAGAGAGGGAGTGGGGAGAAAGTGGGAGTGGAGGGAGATTGGGGGTGGAGGGTAGGAGAGAGAGGGAGTGGGGAGAGAAAGTTGGAAAGGGAGGGAGTGGGGAGAGAGGGATTTGGGAGAGAAAGGGAGAGGGTGATTGGGGAGAAAATGGGAGAGGAAAAGTGTGTGGAAAGTGGGAGAGTAAGTGGTAGAGAGAGAGTGAGTGTGGAGAGATTGGGAAAGAGAGAGAAGATATGTGTGGAGAGTTAGTGGTAGAGAGAGAGAGAGAGAGAGAGAGAGAGAGAGAGAGAGAGAGAGAGAGAGAGAGAGAGAGAGAGAGAGAGAGAGAGAGAGAGAGAGAGTGGGGAGAGTGAGTGATGAAAGAGTGGGAGACAGAGAGAGAGGGAGTGGGGAGAGAGAGGGTTAAGGAAAGAAATGGGTAAAAAAAGAGAAAGGTAGTGGGAGAGAGAAAGAGGAAGTGGTTAGAGTGGGATAGAGAGGTGGAGTGGGGAGAGTGGGACAGAGAGGGGGGAGTTGGTAGAGTGGGAGAGAGAGGCAGAGAGGAGTGGGGAGAGTGGAGGAGAGATTAGGGAGAGAGAGGTAATTGGGGAGAATAGGAGAGCGGTGGGATTGAGGAAAAAGAGGGACTACGCGGCTACATATGTATGTAAGGACGCATATAATTCATTTTTTGTGAAATTAAAACTTTTAAAGAAAATTAAGTTTGATATTTTACCAAACCCGCTGATAAACGTAAACTTTAATTAACTATTGCATAAGATAAAAGAGTGTGTAACGCAAAGACGTGTACCATCACCACGGCATCATGTGAGTTCTATTAATAGTGAAATGAGTACCCCGGCGTTTCATAACTTCTTTAAGTAGATAATGTAGTCAAACAAGTTAATTCAGAGAATTTATGTTCTCAGCTTGGGTTAAAAAGACCATGCGCATGCGCAGTTCGAGTTGGAGTTGGGAGCTGGAGGCTGGGGTATAATGCCCCTGACTGAATTTGTAGAATTATAAAAATGTAAGCATACATGTATGTTTAAGCAAATAAAAAGTGCCAATATGGATATAAGATTTAATTGCTTATTCTTTATTATATGTATAGAAGATTCTTTTTATATAGAATATATTTTTCACATTGTAATGATGATTTTGTGAGTTTGTGGGTTTGTACAAGCCAGATGCGTAAAATTTAGATTTCATATGCTGAATACTTTTATTTAAAGAGACATTGTGAACCACAAAGGGGAAAATTGACAAATGTAGCATTTTCGCATGGCCCATGTAAATTTTGTTCAATTCCTCAAAGTGTAAGTTTTTCAGAAAATTACAGGTTTCAGAACCTAAAAATTCTATTTCTATGGAGAAAAATAAAAGTAAAAATAATTTAAGTTTGCCCTAGAACGCAAATATTGCAAAAATACTCCCTCTTATTGTACGCGTGCGCAGAAAAGTTGAGTAAGTTTACTTAGTTACCAGGAATGAATGTAAGTAGACCAAAAATCTTGATGCAATTTTTAAAAAAAGTTAGAACATATTTCTCACCTTTGCATGCTCCAGTTGAATGTTGTTTAAGCTAAAAATAAAAGTGGTGAGACGTTGACATACACAAAACCAAAGAAATGGTAGATACAACCTCTGTTTTTCCGGCACTTATATTGTACAGTATTTTTTATTCACCCAAGTCTTTCTCTGTATGTTACAGGTATCTTAAAAAATATATAAAAAATGGATTATCAGGGACTCGAATCAGGGACGTCTTACATGATAAGAGAGGGACACACCGGTACACCACGGATCCACTTCCTTCTATTGGAAATAATATGCAAACAACAGGTCACATATGTTTATATTCACGTTTGATATTGTCAAAGTTTTACAAAATGCATGGTGTCTAATTCAGCATTTTATTAAACCATTCTAATAGATGAAATAAGAATAAAAAGTCCACCGACAACCTTTATTATACGTAATGACTCTCCCCCTGTGCTAAAAATAGTAAGAAACGACATTATAAAACAAAAGGGCGGGAAACTTTGAGAGGGGTGAGAGAGGCCCTAGAGATTGTTGGTATAAAATTTCATTGCAAAAGCTCAAAATCTTCTTGAAATATCGCCCGGAAACGGTAGTGTTACACATAGACTTTAAACTTTGACCTTTTGACCTAAAAATCA